ATAGATAATGTTACCTTGATAGGGTTTGAACATGAGGAATGATTAGAGCCATGTATTAGGAAGACTGTTTTGGCTACTGGGTGACAGATGAATAGAAGCAGGGAAAAACTAAAGGCATGGAGACCATCTGCAAGGCAGCTATAAGCAGAGATGTTCCAAAGCAGGGGTTCTTAACCTGGGATTTGTGAACGTGTTTTTAAAAAAAAATACGTGGAGAACTGTATTTCAATATAATTGGTCTCCTTCATAATCCTATATATTTTATTTTGTGCATTTAAAAATATGGCTGAGAATGGGATCACAGCCTTCATAAGATTGCCAAAGAGGTCCAGGACACAAACAAGGCTAAGAACTCCGGTCATGTTTACATGAACCAACGTAAAGTGAAGTGAGCAGAACCAAGAGAACATTGTACACAGCAACAGCAATAGTGTAAGATGATCAAGTGTGAACGACTTAGCTATTCTCAGCCATACAATGGTCCAAGACAATACCAAAGGACTCATGATGAAAAATCCTATCCACCTCCAGAGAAAGAACTAATGGAGTCTGAACGTAGAGCAAAACATACTATTTTTCACTTTCTTTCTTTTTTTGGTTCAAGTTTTCTTCTACAAAATGACTAATTTGGAAATGTGCTTTACATGACTGCACATGTATAACCTCTATCAGACTGCTTACTGTCTCAGGGAGAGGTGGCAGAGGGAGGAAGGGAGAGAATTTTGACCTCAAACTTTTTAAAAAAGAAAGTTAAAATTGTTTTTACATATAAGTAGGGAAAAACAAAATATAATGTTTCAAAAAGAATCCTTATCACAGAGGCATTTGAAAATGGTACAGGAACTTAGGGAGAGAGGGAGGGATTGGATATATAGATCTGAGAGTCATTTGCATAGAGGTAATAATTTAAACTAGAGGTGTCAAGCAGCCCAGGGGCTGCATGTGGCCCACAATACTCTTGAGTGTGGCCTGAACCACACTAAAATGTAATTGGGAAATATGTAATAAAATAAATAAAAATACAATAAAACATATAAAAAATTAATATGTGGTTTTCTAAGTCAGTATGTGGCCCATAGGGATCCTTATATATGGGATAGTGGCTCTTGTTTCTATTTGAGTTTGACACCACTGATTTAAAACCATGGGAGTAGATTATGCCACCAATGGCTAGACTGTACATAGAGAAGAAGACTGAGAAGAGACCCTTGGGGGGACATCCACACTTAGAGACCAGGACAAAAAAGATGAATTCTAAAAGAAGATGAATTGCACAACCTGAGGTCAAAGACAAAAAGACAGTTTCTATATATACCCAAATATTTCTAGCAGCACTATTCCTGGTAATAAATTTTAAAAATCTCATCAGTAAACAAAGCGTGTACCCATCAATTACAGATTGGATGAAGAAACTGTGGTATATGAATGCAATGAAATATTATCAAACCATTAAGAAATTACAAATATGAGGAATTCAAACTTATGAACGGATGGAAGAAACAACTAAGAGAATAATATGCTCAATGACTATAATAGTGTAAATGAAAACAGCATTATGAGATAGCTAATCTCAGAGAAAACGTGATGACCAATCTCAGTAATGGAGAGGAGACCATGAAAAACACTTCCCTCCTTTTGGTAGAGATGAAGGAAGTGCAGTTGCAGAATGTTACATACACTGTCAAATACAGCTACTATGTCAACTATGGTAATGAGGAGAATATCAGGAAAAAACTGGTGTAAGGAACTTTAAAAAAAGAAAGGACAAGAAATAGATATAGAATGACAGTGATCAGTCACAAAGAAGAACTCTAAGGAGAGAGAAGGAAAGATTCCTGAAGTGGAGGAAGGACAGGGTGTCCAGAAGTGGGTGGGCACCAGAGTTCATTGCTACAGAAAGGTCAGGGGCAATGAAGTCAACGCAATGGCCACTGGATTTGACAATTAAGAAGTCATGGGTGATAATGGATAAGTGGAGAAAGGATATAAACAAAAAGCTCTTGAAAGATGAATCGCAAACTCTGAAAAACGATGGGAAATCTTGTTCTAAATCACTAATAAGAGAAATGGAAACCAAAATAATGGAAGTGTGAGCTCATTCCCAACAAACTGGCAAAGATGATAGAAGATGGAAATAGTCAATGTTGGATGGTTAGGGGAAGACAGACATGAATTGGTAAGACTGTAAAGTAGTCTAAGTATTCAGGAAAACCATTTGGCTTATACTAAGAAGGTGACTAATATTTTCACAACAAATTATCTAGAGGTCTCACTGAAAGGCAGAAAGATCGTATATACATTGAAATATTCATAGCAACATTTTTTGTAGTAGCCAAGAATTGAGAATAGAGTAGGATGGCCAAACAAATTGTAATACACACGTAATGGAACATTACTGTGCTGTAAGAAATAATGAATATTAGGAATTTAGGGAAATATGAGGTAATACAAAGTAAAGTAAACAGAACCAGGGAAAAATACATACAATGGCTTCAACAATGTGAACGGAAAGAACAAAATAATCAAAAGCGAATGGTTGGTCTCAAAGAAGAGACATGAGGATGTATTCATTTTCCTTCTTTAGCAGAGACTATGGGCATGTACAATACTGCACATAATGTTGAACTTGGGTCATATGTTGGTTAGTTTCGTTGAACTACATTTTCTCCTATTTTTAATTATTTATTACTGGGGATGGCCCTTTGAGAGGGGGAAGGATGACACATCAGGCAATGCAGGTGATAGCAAAAACAGAAGATATCAATAAAATAAAGAAAAAAGATATTACTAACTTCAGAGGGAGCCGCTTTAGTACAGAGGTGGGAATGAAAGCCAGATGGCAAGAGGCTGACTTGAGGAGCGAGTGGGTGGTAAGGAAGCAGCCCATGTAAAAACCACTCTTTCTAAAAGCTTGACAGAGAGGTGGAAGAAATATATAAGAGAGAGTTGAAGGGAATAGTGGTGTCAAGTGAAGAGTTTTAAGGCAGAAGCAAAGGAACCATGAGAGAGACACTGAATACCAGAGAGAGAGAAGGATGAATGGAAAAGGTCCAAGAGAAGATGAGAGGAGATGGGGTCTAAGGCATAAGTGGAGGGATAAGCCTTAGCAAAGAATGCAACCTTCTCTTCTGAGATTAGAGCAAAGGAGGAATGAACAGTTGAAGACAGAAATGTTTTGAGATATAAAAGAAGGAAAATGATAGAGCTTACAATGAATAAACTTAATCTCAATGAAATTAGGAAGAAAAAGTCATCTCCTGAGAGAAATGGGAGCTTTATGGTTAAAAGTTGATGGCTGGAGAGGAGAGAAAAATGTTTAGAATAGCTGCTATGAGCATGTGACAGAGAGTAAGAAATGAGTTAAAGAATGACTATGCAGCAGTGAAGGCTCATTTCAGATCATACTGACCTAGGCAGCATGGTCTTGCTCTTGGCATATGGGTAATAAGAATGAAGAAAACAGATGTGGGAGATGACTGAGGTATGAGGATTAGTAAAGTGTGAAAGGGAAACGACAGGACAGTAAAGAAGTCAAGGGTGGAAGAAAGCAAGTGTCTTGCTGAAATGGCAGGATATAGCAGCAAAACTGCGAAGGAAAGGCAGTGAAGTTAGAACAGGTGGGATGGACTAGGTCCTAGCAGAATAGGGCATGGATCACGGAACCAAATGGTTTAAGTAAGTGAAATTCAGAAGAATGAGGTGTACGAGGAAGGGAAGAACAGGATATTGTGATCAAAGAGGGGAATTAAGGTGTTTAGGATGTTGGAGGCAAAACAGTTTCAGGTGATTGTGAGGTGTATAAAGTAAGAGGTGACTGGGAAGTTCATGCCAAATTGTGGAGATGGAGTAATTCAGAGACCAGAGTGTTTGAAAGGCCAACTGTAAGTACTAAAGTCACCAGAAACCTTGGTAGGCATCAGGGTAGAAAGAGATAGCAGTAAAGTCAATATCACATCAAAAATGTCCAAATGAGACTCCCCTATAATGTTTAGACCACTTGTAAGGGTGACCCCTCAATCCACAACCTTGGAACAGAACTACCTTACTAGTATTCATTTGTTAAAAAGAAAGAAAGAAAGAAAGAAAGAAAGAAAGAAAGAAAGAAAGGAAGGAAGGAAGGAAGGAAGGAAGGAAGGAAGGAAGGAAGGAAGGAAGGAAGGAAGGAAGGAAGGAAGGAAGGAAGAAGAAGGAAGGAAGGAAGGAAGGAAGGAAGGAAGAAAGAAGAAAGGAAGAAAGAAAGAAAGAAAGAAAGAAAGAAAGAAAGAAAGAAAGAAAGAAAGAAAGAAAAAGAAAAAAGAAAGAAAGAGAGAAAAAAAAAAAGAAATATGCCCAACACAAATAACATGTTGTGGTTTCTCTTTCTCTGTCTCCCAATTAAATGTGAAGTAGCGTTAATGGGAATCTTTTAGAATCTGTGGTAATTCTTCCTAAAACTTTTTATAGCATTGCAAAAAGAGGTTTCCCAACAACACTACCATCCTAGTTCTAGTACTGTGGTGCCTGGGGCAATGGCTTCTGGGATACTAGCCTAAGTCAAAACATTCATGAAATCTTGTTTATTGTGGGGGGAAAAACATGTTTTACAGATTACATTTTTTTTCCTGGACTAAAATGCATTAAGAACATTTTAAAATTGTATTTTATATGCTTGGTTGGTCACGATTTCTTGAGTTACGTCAGACAACCCATCAACAATATCTGAGTAATTCAAAACTACTCACTAGTAGCCTGGTGGGTTGAAGGAGAAGCAGGCATCATCTAGGGCATTTGTCTACCTTATTTCCCTCACAAAGCTTCCCTCAGGTATTCCTTCACCACCCTCAAGGAAGCTCAAGGCCTGACTCTGGCATTCAAGGTACTTCAAAAACTTGGCTTTGCTCTTCTCAGAAAAACAGAGTCTTAAGACATAGGGCAAAAACGCTGTGCTCCAATACTAACATCTCATTAAAATGAAACCAGAAAGCTCTGAGACAGACAGACAGACAGACCAATCGCCTTACCTGCTGGACAGCATTCTTATTTCCCAGAAAACAGTCTGGTCCAGAGCAGACATACACGTTTGAAGGTAAGTCATTATAGGAGTCTCTATTGATGCCTGAAGAATCTCTCATGTTGAAATAGAGGGCCCACAGAAGGTTTGGCTTTTCTACTTCTTCATTTTCTAAAGGCAAGACAAAACATCTACGTATTCACATGCTAAAGAAACAAAACGTCAACACGTGTGATTTTCCAGAGGACTACGGGATCAGAGGCCATCCAGTTTCAACGCCTTCATTTTACATATAGCAGTGAGGTGGTACAGGGGATAAGAGTGGTGGGCCTGAAGTGAGGAAGACCTGAGTTCAAATCTGGCCTCAGACACTTAGTAGTTGTGTGACTCTGAGCAAGTCACTTAACGCCTGTCTGCCTCAGTTTCCTCATCTGCAAAATGAGGGTAATAATAGCACCCACCTCACAGGTTTGTTGTGAAGAGCAAATGAGATAATATTTGTAAAGTGCTTAGCATAGTGCCCAGTATACAGGAGGTGCTTAATAAATGCTTATTCCCTCTCCTCCCCCATTTTACAGGTGAGAAAACTGAGACCCATATAGGTTAAGTGACTTACCCAAGGTCACACAGGCACTAAGTGGAAGAGAAAGTATTCTAACCTAGGTCTCCTGATTTGAAGAACAGGTTCTTTCCACTATGTAGCAGGGAGCCAATTGTTAAATTATCAGCTTAATGTAACTGTGAAAATATTTATGGCTAGAGGGCATTTTATACACACACATATCATATATATTTATACATACATGTGTGTATATATATAGCCTATTTTTTTCTAAGCACCTACAACTTAAGATAGGAGCAATTATTTATAGATGGTCTAATAGTCTATCAGTCAGCCAACAAGCCACTGAGCTAAGTGTTACAGGGACACAAGGAAAGTACAACAACAGCATCGACTCTCAAGGGACTCACAGTCTAATAAGAGAGACAACATGCAAACAACTTTGTACAAACAAGAGACACACACATGATAAACTGGAGAAAACCTCAGAGGGCAGGCATTGGGAAAGACGTGCAAAAGGTGAGATTTTAGCTGAGACTTGGAGGAAGCCAGGAGACTGAGAGGAGGAGGCAGAGAATTCCAAGTATAGAGGACAGCCAGTAAAAAGACAGAGTTAGGAGATAAGTATCTTGTTTGAGGAAGAGCAAAGAGGCCAGAGTCACTAGACTGTAGACTGCTTGGAGTAAGGAGATTGGGACAGCAGAAAAGGGCCAAACAACAAAGTTTTAAAAGCCAAACAATTCAATTACAAAGTGCTCCTTAAAGAAATAAAGAACTTACATAAAAATGATAATATTACCAAAGTTAGTTTATGCTTTATGGTTTTTTTATGCTAACCAAAGTTAATTTATGCTATACCAACTGAATTACAAAGGGGATACTTGGTAGAATTTGATAAAATAATAACACGATTCATTTGGAAAAACAAAAGATACAAAATATCAAAAGAAATGTTGAAAAGATCTAGGCAAGAAGGGAAAATAATACTTTCAGAACTCAAATTATATTATAAGGCAGCAGTCATCAAAACCATCTGGTATTGGTTAAAAAATCAAGAAGTAGATCAATGGAATATGCCAGACAAGGGAGAATCAGAAACCATGGCACTCAATAATCTAGTGTTTGATAAACTAGAAAACATAAATTAACTAGGAAAAAAATCCTCATTTGATGAAAAATGCTGGGAAAACTGGAAAGCAATTTGGCAGAAATTAGACTTAGAACAACACCTTACATCAATCAATCAGTAAACATTTAATAAGTGCCTACTATGTACCAGGCACTGTACTAAACACCATATTCTACAAGACATTCTAAATGGATACACAACTTTAATATTAAAGATCATACTATAAAAAAATTAGAAGAGAATCAGATCTATACCTCTCACGGCTATGTCTAAGAGATGTATTCCTAACCAAACGAGGAATAGAAGCAATTACAAAACATAAAATAGATAACTTGGACTACGTGAAAGTGAAGAGCTTCTGCACAGACAAAATTAATGCACCTAAGAAAAGAAGGGAAGTGGGCGAATATGAAAAAGTCTTTGTATCAAATTTCTCTGATAAGAGTATTGCATCTAAGATATATAAATAATTTATACACACACATACATTAATAAAAGCCATTTCTCCAACAGATACGCAGTCAAAGGATACGAATAAAAAGTTCTTAAAAGTATTCACAACCACACGAAAGAATGCTCCAAATCACTAATAAAAAGAAAAATGCAAATCCAAAGAATGCTGAGGTTCTATATCATACCGTGCCAGTTGGTAAAAATGACAAAAAAATGGCAATAGTTAATTTTGAGAAGTTGTGGAATAATAGGAAAACTAAATACATTGTTGGGAGAGCTGTGAATTGGTCCAACTATTTTAGGAAGTAATTTGAAATTATGCCAATAAAACGACTAAAATGTCCATACTTTTTAAGCAGATTCTATTACTGAGTTTACACTCCAAGGAAGAAATTGAGAAAAAAGTCCCCCATATATGCCAACATATTTCTAGCAGGACTTTTTGCGATGACAAAGAAATGGAAACAAACTGGGAAATGGCTCAACAAGTTGTGGTTACATGAATGTAATGGAGTATTATTGTGCTATAAGAAATGATGAAAATGATGATTACAGAGAACTGTACAAAGATCCCTATGAACTGATAAAGATTAAAGTGAGCAAAGCCAAGAAGACAGTATACACAACGACTACAACAATGTACATGGAAAGAATGACACACCAAAAACTCAAAAATGAATGTGACAACATTATTTTAGGAAACTGCTACGGGGACAGCTAGGTGTGCAGTAAATACAGCACTGACCCTGGAGTCAGAAGGATGTGAGTTCAAATCCAGCCTCAGACACTTACTAGCTGTGTGACCCTGGGCAAGTTACTTAACCCTAATTGCCTCAAAAAAAATTAAAAATAAAGAAATTGCCACAGCCATCCCAACTTTCCGTAACCACCACCCTGATCAGTCAGCAGCCATCAACATAGAGATAAGACCCTTTACCAGCAAAAAGACTATGATTTGCTGAAGGCACAGATGATGGTTAGCATTTTTTTTTAGCAATAAAATATTTTTTAATCAAGGTATGTACATTGCTTTTTTAGATATAATATTATTGCACACTTAATTGACTACAGGATAGTATAAATATACCTTTAAATGCACTGGGAAACCAAAAAAATTGTGTGACTTGTTTTATTGCAATATTCATTTTATTGTGGTGGTGCGGAACTGAAGCCACAATATCTCCAAGGTATGCCCATATTTCAGATTTCAATTCTACTCACAGTATCTATAGACACACACAAGTCATCATCTGCTAACTTTCAATTAATCACAAAATTCAATTATTCTAACAGCCCATTCCCCAACAATTCTGGAGAGATGAGAGTGGCAATTTTTAACAATAATTTCAATTAAAATGGCATAGTCTGTCTCTCTACTCAAACCAACTTAATATTTACTTGCTGCCAACACAGAAAATAGGACTACAAAGGCTACTTCCAAAAAACCGGGAAGACCAGGAAGTTAGCTTCCTGGTGTATAAAAATTAAAAAAAACACAAACAACAAGCCCTGCAAAACTATGGAATTAGTCTGTGTTCCAGTTAACCATTATCTGGTCAAAACTAGAGTTTTCCCAAGGGTCTCTACCATTTCTTCTTTTCAGAGCTAAAATCCTTTTCACCAACGTGAAATACAATGATGTAAAATATCTCTTACCAAGCAATGACGTATTTAGTTTTTTGTTGTGGCTAGGCAATGGGGTTAAGTGACTTGCCCAGGGTCACACAGCTAGTGTCAAGTCTCTGAGGCCGGATTAGAACTCATGTCCTCCTGACTCCAGGGCTGATACTGTACCCACTGCACCATCTAGCTGCCCCTCAAGCAATGATGTTTTTTGCTAGGAAGCTGGTGAAACAAATGAAATTGATACCAAATGTCAGATGCAGAGAGGGAGCAGATGATGTTGTCACAGTAAAAGTAAACCTGTCATGCACTAAGACATAATACTAAAGAAAAAAATGGCTTCGGATTTTGTTGCGGACCTTGATTTCCTGGGTAGAATAGACCACTGGCCCTCCTAACTAGAACCAAAGAGGTTCTTCACTTTTAAAATCTACGCTGATGCTCTAACAAGGGAGCCTAGAAGAGTTAATACCATCTTCTCATTTTCTCATGGGCAACAACTGGTCCCTTAAGCTTAGACTATATAATCCTTCCTTGGTTTAGATGGTAAAGCTAAGCTGAATTCCTTGATGTCTTATAGGAACCTAGTTTTGTGGTTTGGACTGCTGGGAATTTTGCTGCCCAAATTTACCGATAGTGAGCAATTGATCACTTTTTGATAACTTCAATCTAGCATAAGAGCTGACAGGTCTAGCATAGATTGAAATCAATACTTCATAAAACTGAAGTTCCATTTTCAATAACTGAAATATTAAGAGGAGAGTAGACAGGGAAGGGAATAAGCATTTATATAGTGCCTGCTCAGTTGAGAAAACTGAGGAAAACAGAGATGAAGTGACTTACTGGAGGTCACACAGCTAGTAAATGTCTGAGGCTGGATTTGAAATCAGGTCTATCACTCTATCTACTGTGCTACCTAACTGCTGGTGGATGTATGAGAGATAGTATGACCTCATGAATGTATGTCAGAGATACTGTGGAGGTAGAATTAACAAGATTTGGCAACTGGCTGGAGCAGAAAGGAGGAGGAAAGAGACAGTGATGATTCTGAAGCTATGGACCTGAGTAACAGAGAGAATGGTGAAACCCTGAACAGAAATAGGGAACTTTTGAAGATGGCTGTATTGGGGGTGGGGTAAGGCGTGTGGAATCTGGGGAGAGAATGAGTCCCATTTTGGACACTCTGAATTTGAAATGACTACAGGACATCTAAGAGGAGATATCCAGGAAGTAGTCCAAGATGTGTGAGTAGCCTCCAGGAGAGAGGTTGGGGCAGGATATATAAAAATGGGAGCTATCTGCATACAGATGACATCTTACACCAAATCAATCAGGTTGGATAGTAAGGGAGACCTTATAGGTATTTTTATGGCAAGTGGTCAAGTTATTTTTATACTTAGGAGAAGGTTATTGGTTTCTACAAAAAATATATCGTCTGGCAATGTGACAGTGCTGACCTAACACATGCACTTCTAAAATCCTACAGCTTGAAACAAAAAATAAACATGGGTTAGGAAAAAAAAAAATCTGTTCCTTTAGCATCTATTTTGAAATAATTCCAGAGTTTCAGAAAAAAAATTTCTAGCAAATAATATTTAAAATACAGATTAAATTCATCAATCTGTGAAAGCATGGTTTTCTCTGCACAAAACAGTGTGTTTTAATGGATTAAAAGTTCTTCTTCCTTAGAAAGTTCCTTCTTCCTCATTTAGGCAGGAAAATGAATCGAGTCCTCTTCTCCAGCTGACTTTGCCTCTTTGACCTGCCATGGCCCAGTGCTCACTTTATCTGGTGATTCATTTTCAAGAACTCTAACAGTATTTGTTCTGACATTTTAATTAAAATACGACCACTACCTCATCCTGATGATAAAAAGGCCCATGTGTCAGTGAAAACTAGGTTTTTAGTGCCTCGGTGCACCTGAGGACCCTTCTGATCTCAGAGTTCTTACTAAAGAATTTCAGTCAGGTTCTAAACAATATATCATTTCAAAATGGGATCACTTTAAACATTAAGATGAATGGTTTTTTTTAATGGGTAGATGTTAAGTAATGAACGTGCATTTGTTCCCCAAGCTGCTTTTTACAAATAACTACAAAATGTATTTTTTTTATAAAAGGATCCCTAAATGGTAGCTTCAGGGGCAGTGTGCTCGTTAGCTGCAGGTACTGGCTATAGTAGCAAGCCTCACTGGAACGGCATGCAGGAAAATGAATGAGCAAAGCTTCAGGCATCATGGACAAAGTTTGGAGTTTATGTAAGCAAATTATGGATCTGATTAAAGCCAAAGGCTGAAAACATGACTCTGTATTTGAATTAGAATAATATTTTAGTAAAATTTATGGTAACTTCATAATCAACAGTTGTAATAGCAATCACAAACATTTATGAAGCCTAAAATGGAGAAAACCTTGATATTTAGTAAAAACCAAGTTAAATATCAACTCACAGCAAAATACACTTTTGGATTAGAGAACTTTACTCAAGCAGTACAAAATGAAGTGAGTTAGGCACATTAGCGTTAGCATCTGAGAATGAAGCAATCTGTATTCTCTTATGTAAATTTATAAGCCCATCTCTGCTCCTCTGCATGAAGACCCAAAAAACAACACATGTGATAAGAGGGTAAAAAAGAGATTATAATAGGAGAGAGCAGGAAGCAGGACACAGGCCACGTGGACAGACACTACCGACCAAAGGAAATAAAGAACTGGAAATCAACCTGAGGAAATAGGATTCACATGCATACCCCTGGACAGGAAATCACCACGCATTTGAAGGAAATACGGATTCAAAGGGCCATTTCTGTCTCTGAACATAAAACATAAACAGACTCAATTTGCTTGAGTTGCCCTCTCGTGGCCAAACCTTGATAAGGCAAAGATGATTCCCCCCCGCCCCCTCCCCGTATGAGGTTTCAATAGGATTGTTACATTAAAAAGAAAAAAAAATGTCCAAGTGATGTACATTGTGAAGGCCCTGGATGATTAGGAAGGATTGCTCACATTTCATCTGTTACACCAATAATATATATATTTTTTACCTTCACTCAATTGATAAGAGCCCCATCTCAACCATTCTAATACAGTGCTTGCAAAATCTGGCACACTGCATTTCGGGAGACAACAAAAAGGAAAAATCAGATACCAAGTTAAACTCTCTTTCTATCAAGAAGGGCCAGAATATTCTTACCTAACTCTGCCTCAGCATACGGTGTGAACAATTTCTGCACAACTGACTCTAAATCTTCTCTTGCTGTTTTTTTTGAGGATGGACAAGTCAAATGGACGAGATCTGTTCAAACGCAGGAGGAAAGGGAATGGAGAGAAAAAAAATGAGGTTAGTATATTTTGATTTACTGCTTGTATACCTCAAAAGTGCAGCAACCCGGTTTTCTCTGACATAGGGATATAAGCACTTAAATATTCCAAGCTAGGGTTTTGTAACGGGATCCCTCATATTCAGTGAACAAGTTTATTTTTTCAAAGCAGATTTCTGAATTCAACATTACAATAAAGCATTACTATTTCAGACTCCATTAATTTAGGATTTGCCAGATTTATTATATTATATACTATTTATGAAAGTGATTTTGTTTTACTAAATATAGAAGAGACTAAGATTTTAAATATTTAGAACAAATTTTTCAAGTACTCTAGAAAAACCCAAGTACACATGAACTATCAATATGCAAATAACACATTATGGATTTATTCAACGGTATACACAATGACTTCTACTTAATAATATATTTTGTTGGCTTAGTTTGAATAACATGATGCACTTGATAACAAACACATACGAATTAAAAATAGTCCACAATCCAGACTATTCACTAGTAAAAACTCTCCTCTTCAATGATTTCAAATGAATGAGGTTTTACTCTAATTGGTTTTTATGAAATCTGAAGCCTTGACTTGAAAGCTTGGGTTTTTCAGGCTAAAGAACATCACATATTTAAAGAAGACACTTCTTGGCAAAGTACAATAATGCACAAGAAAGAGGAAGGGTCCAACATTCAATTCAACAAGTTCATTAAGTGTCCATTATAGCAGAGGCATGCTGGAGATGCAAAGACAAAAAAGAAACAGTGTCGAAAATATCAGAGCGAGGAGATCCGTAGATATAGGTAAGGGTGTGAGGTGACAGTGAGATGGTAGCAGAAGGGAGATCCTAGAGTCTAGAAGCACGTCAATACCAATTCCAACAGCATTACATCGAGGATGGCCCATTTTTCCGGCACCCTCGGCTGCCAAATCCCCTTTCTTGTCCAAAGTTATCTCAATCTACTGAGGAGAATTCCTTCCACTGCCCAAATGCCTTTCCAATTTTGTAATGGAAATCAATGTGAGAAAGGATGTAGGGTTATAAGAATTCATTTCACAAATAATTTAGCTGGAAAGTATTTTTTAATGGCAGAGATACTCAATATTTATGCTTATTACACTCAGCTTTCCTAGCTCTTTATCTTTGTGCTCATTTGTTGCAAAAGTCCCAAATCCAAAGTCTCTGAGAAGACCCATGTTACTGAAGCACAATGTGTCATGCTTAGGAAAATACTGCAGTGATTCCTAGACCAAGTTTTAGAACACGCTAGGAAAATTATTAGTTATCTCAAAGGTCACCTCAATAATTCTCACATTCAATTTAATTTTATTTCACTGAAATAAAAACAGGCTTGACAACTTTTTTCAGGGAGAGAAAAGGAACAAAGGTCAAGATCAAAGAGGGTCTTACAAGTCTAAAGAATGAAATAATTGTTGGCATATTATAATTTCACTACACTAGTTTATCTATTTTGCATAAGTATTCAACCACTTGGTAACATGTCCCGTCCATCTTAAAAAAAAAGTCTACATTTCTTCATGGAGTAATTTTTTTCGTGGTGGAGATGGCAGGTGCGGTCCAACCAAAAAAATACCTAGGGGACATTTTAAGATCAATCAACAAGCATTTAGTAAGATTCTATGTGCCAGGCACAGTCCTAGGCACTGGGGATGTAAAGGCAAAACCCAAAACGTCTCTGCCTCTGAAGAACTTTGTTTCCATTAGGGAGAAATAACATGCCCACATATATAAATAAGCACACACAAAATCACCACAAAGCAAATATAAGGGATTTTTTTTTTCTTTTGCAGAGGATGAAAGGTTGGAGATCAGGAAGTGCCTCATGTACAGTATAACACTTTAGCAGACCTCCGAAGGAAACTGGGACTTCTAAGACATAGAAGTGATGAAGGAATGCATTTCAGGCATCAAGGACAGCCAATGCACAGGCAGAGAGATGGGAAATGAAATGGCACATGTGAGAAATGGCAAGTAGGCCACTAGGATAGGACTATAGAGTACAATGAGGGGAATGATGTGTAATAGGAGGAAACACCAAGTCTTCTGCCCGCAGTCTCAATTTTCCCATTCCTTCCTATTCAATTAAACCTGACTACATTATTAAAAGTCTAACCATTCACGGGAAATTCAGAGGATTAACATGAATTCACATGAGTATTTTAATAACTTGAAGAATACATATTTTTGAAAGATCTCCTACAGGTTATAATATTAGCTCTGCTAAATAGGAACTCTCTCTCTTCGTCTCTGTCTCTCCCCTCCATATCTCTTTCTCTCCTCTATTTTACTTTCTCTCCTTTATTTTTCTCTGTCTCTCTCTCTGTCCCCCTCCTCTCTCTTTCTCTCTCCTCCATATCTCTTTCTCTCTCTTCTATTTCTATCTCTCCCCCTCTCCTTTTCTCTCTCCTCTCATTTCTCCCCTCACTCTTTCATATCTCTCTCTCCTTTATTTCACTCTGTCTCTCCACGCTTTTTCTCTCTCCTCTCCTTATCTCTCTGTCTCTCTCCCCTTCCTCTCCTCCATATATATTATATAAACATACACATGATTTACATAGTTCCACATGTCCTATCTACAGAAATACACAGCAATTTCATCCTCCATTTGAAGTTGGATATATGGACTCGTTTTTTCCTCCTTTTGAGCCTGTGGCAATTTCCTTTTCTTGTTACCCAAGTTGCCTCCTTGCCTCCTTCTCATCTTTTTCTCTAGTTCTCCTTGAATGACAGCTGGCCCAGAGCTGCATTCTTCTTTCATTCCCAATATTTCTCTAATGGTTGCTTAGATTCCCTGCCTGCTAAGAGGCTGGCTGCCCAGGCCAGCTTTGTGCCTCTGCCCATACCACAGCAGGTGCTCATTGGCCATGGATAAAACCATGGCTTAGCCAAAGATTTCCATAATGCCTGGCAATGATCTCCTGTATCTCACTGAACACGTCCGCATCAACACTCAATTACTCAAGCTGCATCTCCAGGGGCTGAAAAATATACACTAACACAAAATCCTTGAAATAATTTCTATTTGCTGTGATAATACAGTCACAGTCATATTCAGACACACAGATATCACCAGGAAGAGATTTCTTGGCCGCCACAGAAAATCTGCAAAGTAAATAACCTACTTATTTAAACCCAGGCTCCCTTTGGGTTCTAATATGCTACTTTACAATAGCATGATTGTCTCTATACCTCTTCAAAAATAATTTCTTCCTGTAAAGTCATTTCAAATCCAGTAGGACTTATCTGAGGCTGAAAAAAACCATGCTTCAGAGGCTATGCCTTCCCACTCGCTCAAACATCCCCTTCTTTTTTGCTCAGGCTTTTTGTTCTTCTCCATTGTACCCAACATTTACTTTGCTCAATAAAGGCTCAACAACAACCACTAGGCCAGGGAAAAGTACACTCTTCCCTAATGATGACATTTCATTAGTATCAATAATGACAATTACTACCATGTGAATCCGCTAGAATCAGTAACTATGGAAACCTTTCTCCCTGGCCTCACATGAGAGTATAAAAGGCTTGAGGGTCCATTAACAAACCCAAGCTCTTTTGTACACACTGCTCCTTCTACCTCATCTGGTAACTTTTGTTCAAAGGTTTAATGGATTCAAAAATTACAAAGTGAGTTTCCTGTTAGTGGTCTCTTGTCTCCAATAGTGCTAGTGTATCTACCCATGGTAGATATGTACAGGCAACAGAGAAACACCGAAAGGGAAAAGGGAAAAGCCTTAATTCACAGAGCGCACAAGTGATACTTGAAGCCACATAAGAACCAGGGAGCCAACAACATTCAGACAAGTGAATGAACGACTCTGAAGTGACAGTGATGAAAACATCAAAAATCTTCAAGGTAGAAGCTATTCAACACGAAACCGAGGGCAAAAGCAGCGCATTAACTCTCTAACAACAGATTGGGAACACTGTTGGCCCATGTCATTAAGTTATCTCCCTGTTCAAAGTAAGAGCGTTTCTGCTTAAAATGAACAGGGTTAACAAATAAATGGATGATTTCAAACTACTGTGAGAGGCATCAAAAACTTCCTTAAATACAAATCTTTCGATGATGACTTCAAGACAAATGGAAATAGAAACAGAAACTTCTGCAAATCCTTTGAATTCTAGAAAAGTCAGGGAATCTCTTTTTCAAGCTTCTAGTACTACCTGCTACTGGAACAAGATAGATACAAACAGACCAGCCTTTCTCAAAAACAGTGCAAATACCTGTTTACGTGCTAGACAAATGGATTTTGCTTTCTAACTCCAGGCAACGTCGCTCAGTAAAATGGAACACGTTTACCAAAAAATGGATATGCCTAGCAATTTCTTTATGAACTACAGACTGCACAGCACAAGTCCGGATATATGCAAGAGCTACAGCCTTGCTAGTGCTAAGAGACCAAGAATGGCATCTGAAGCAGGTACATTGTAACATTCAAGCACACAGTGGGCACTGCTGGCTTCTCTGAAGAGAACAATAGAATGTTCAAGTCAGCTTGTAGATTCCCTAAAGAATTTAGAAAGCGATACAAAAAGTCAACTTAAGAACATAAGCTTGAGTATTTACTTTAGAAAATCAATTCTCTGCTTTATAACAGTATTAAGAATAAAGGAATTCATTTAAAAAATCAGGCAAAGGTCAACAAAATCCAAAAAGCCTGAAAAGCCAATTGCCACAATTCCCTAATCGTGCAGAGTATTTTCTTAGGTCAGACAACAAGATAATTCAAGGATCTCATTTTGTCTTTCAATTCAAAACACGCTGATTTTGAGAGTTGTTAAGTACTTCTACCAACCAAGATCCCAGCCCCTCTAAGACCTGGACGAAAGAGAACCTTTGATATCATAATACGAAATTGGATAATATTAAATTTAAGAGGGACAGATAAACATTTTAAGACTTGTATTTAAAAAAAAACAACGTCATAAGTACAGATGAGGCATGT